TTCTGGTTGTACTGTCTCCCCTTCGTTCACATCTGACCTTACTGGATGTTTGAGCCCTTAGCTTTAAGTGTTTCCCACATTGTACTTGGCTTCTTTTCCACTTTAACTTCACTACGCAGCTCAACAATCACAAGAAGCGCTCTTATGCGCTAGTTTTAGCCCTTGGCTTGCCGTTTGGTTTTTCTCCATCCCGACACCACTGACCACCTCTTCACTCAAGCAAAACCCCAACAGAAGTCGTGTCAAAGAGTATGTTTTGTGGTTGGGATAGAGTAGTCCACGGGTACAACAGTGGCGCCGTGGGCGTGCCTCGAGACAATCGCTACGGTTTTACAAAGTGAGCTTGGTGAATAATGGTTGAGTTTCTGATTTGGGCCGCAGGGAATGAACAAAGGACATCTCTTGTATTAAACTGTATGAGGGTCTATTCAATAGGAGCCACGTTGGAACGAGTCATACAAGAAGTTACTTAATCGACATGAAACAGTCCAGAGTAGTGTAATCTAGATGTATTTCTTTCATAGATTTTTTAGAGCCGGCGATGGGTTACTGAACGGGGCATTGCACGAAAAATCAAATATTCTAGCTACCCCGATAGCAGGGCGTCTCCGATACTCTCAAAGAGCCGCCCCGTCCAGCCCGGTCAATGTCGCTGGTCAGAAGGCAGGGGCGTCGCTCTTTGGCACCGGAAGGAGTAAGAAATCCAAGGCCCGTTTTTAGGCTGTTTCTCTGGGATGGTGTATGTTGAATGTGAGGAGGGACGGGGTTTCGCAGTATGCCGGGATGATTCACTCCCCCGTGCTTACAACCGCCTCAAGGATTGGTTGCTGCCTTGCGGGACTTAGTTTAAAAGGTGGCGGACCGGCGAGTGGGGGACAGGCTTCGGGGCTCTTGAGCTTAGTCTGAGTATGACATCGAAGTATGGAGTCCGTGGGACAGCACTTTAGGCCGATGTAGGACTTGCGATTACGCGCGAGGTGCGCTTAGCGATCTGCCCCCGGTCGCATCCCGGCGGGCCGTGATCCGACTTATACTGGCTGGGTTACGCGCAAGCGACCGCGGAAATGTTGAGCGATATCGAGCGATCGCGGTCTGGACATCGCCTTGAGCCTTTTGGGTGGGAATTGTTGTTGGCTACTGCACATTTGTTCATCCATCCTTCCGTAACATCATTTGTGCTTGGTAGTTTGGAGCGAACCTCGTCCGATTTTTGATTTTAGACGCGCTGGCAGGTTGTCGACCCAGCTCCGCCCGCTTCTCTTGGCCGTGACGTCGCTCGCAACACAGTCAGTTGTCGCTCTTTTGTTTGCTCTGTCGAAAGCAGACGAAGGGCGCCGCTTGAGCGCTTTACTTCACAAGCCCTGGCCCTTAAAAACCTCTTCGTGGTGATGGTATTCTAAGTGTTGGTTATTCTATTTTCGTGCATGGTGGCTCCAATTGGATTGATGCTTTGCTTCCGTAAGAGTGGAAAGGGAGAACGGGTGTTGACAGTGCACAAGAAGAGCCCTTAGGTTATTTGAACATTATTATGAGCTCGTGCATCGTTTGAGTATCTCAGTGCGTTGACGCAATCTAGTGGATTCAGAGGATCGTTCATTCAAGTGCATGTTCGAAAGAAATTTGAAGAAACAGCTTAAGAACCAGTAAGAAAGGTGGGGCACTAAAAACAGAAATGATAAGAATAACTAGTTCTTAACTTGACATTATGTATGTTACCCGGATCTTTCTGGGTAAGCAGATTTCATAGGATTCGGTTTCGGTATTTGCGCCTCTGAATTCACTAGGATGTTGAGAGCTGTGGTAGCAGTAGCTCCGATTATTCAAGGTGAGTCGAAGCAAATATGAGTAACAGATTAAGATCAGTAAAAGGTGGGCATAATGACTATCAAATGATAAGTAATAAGTTTACAATTGAACATTATTATACGAGTACGAAGGCGAATAAAAATCAAAGCAACAAGAAGAATTTCAATAAAAAGTGAGCACCAGAAAATTGTTCGTATGATAAAATCTGTTGTCATTTGTTATGCGTTCTACGCTTTTCGTTCATTTCCTTTTCGCTTTCGTTATTTTTTGTTCGTTCTCTCATATTTCATCATTTCAGCATATGAACAGTACGGAGCTACCAGCGGTGAAATCGGCAATCTATCAGGAGCTTGTCGCTCTCTATCCCGAGCAGTCGTTCTCCGTGCTCTGCGTGGATGGAGCGGTCAGCTATCAAGCTGATTCCCATAGGTAATGAATAGCTTCAAACTGCCGAAATGCTTTAGATGGGTGGCCACCCCACCCAATTTGATTTCATCCGGGTATGGCAGTGTCTTCGACATTCATTCAAAGTCGAAGTAACGCATATATACGTAACGTTCGGCCCGCGCACTAAACTGCTATGGACTGTCGAGGTTCGGTGTCGAGTCGGGGTTCTTCCCTATTAACCCGGGTAATAGCAACGTAGTTCTCCACATTTTCCTGTTCGAGTTGACTGTAAATCGTAATGTTCATAAAATGCGTACGTCATACTAGATCACTTTCAGGTACTGCGTCGAAGGCAACATGGACCACAACTGTTATGTCTTTATGGTGTAAACAGATTTCTATTGAACGTAATAAATTAGATTATTAGTAATTGTGACTTGAATTTCTCACTCAAAAACAAGTGAAGACTTATTGAACTTGGAGCAGAAGCTCTCCATTGCAAAAGCTGCAGTTTCTGCTTCTGGCCCGCAGGAATAACAAAAACAGACACTCCTCTTGAGTTAACCTATATTACGTCTTCAAATGGCACACGTTGAAACGACTCACTACCAAGAAGTACCTAAATCGACAATGAAACACCAGATAATTGAACTAGATTACTTCTTCATAGCATTTTTAGAGCCTGCAGGAAACGGCATCACCAAAAATCAATATTCTGCTCCCGAGCAGCGTCTCAGATAACCTCTCACAGCCCACGATCACGGTCAACTGTCCGCTGGTCACGGCCAGGGGCGTCGTATTTGGCCAACGGAAGGGGAAGTAAGCAAATCAGCCGTTTTGGCGTTTCTGCTGGGATGTATGTTGAATGTTGAGGAGGGGACGGGGTTTCCGACAGTTGACGGACTAATTCAACTCGGTCCTTACAACCGCCTCAATTTGATGCTCACTTCAGGACTAAGCTTTAAAGGGAGGACGGACCCGCGAGAGAGCGCAGGCCCGTCCTCTCCTTGAGGCTTAGTCCTGAGGTGAACATCGAATTGAGTCCTGGGGTAAGCAATTTAGGCCGATGTCAGACTTTGCGATTCGCGCGATTCGCTAGCGTCTGCGGTAGCATCGCGGCCAGTGAATCACTAAACTGGCTGGTACCGCAACGCGACCGCGGATGTTAGCGAATCGCGCGATTCGCAAGGTCTGACATCGGCCTTAGCCCTTTTGGTGGAATTGTTGTTGGACCTACTGCACCATTTCGTCATCAATCCTCTACCGTAAACACCATTTGATGCTGTTTTGAAGCAACTCGTCGATTTTTTGCATGCAATTTTAGAACGCGCTGCAGTTGTCACAGTACCACCGATCTTCCGGGTAAGCAGTTTCAGAAAATTCAGTTTCAGTTTTTTTTTCGAATCTCGTCGAAGAAGACGAAGGAGGGTGAGCAGTTTATTCACAGTGTTTAAACATAACCCTCTTCGATTTGAAGTATTCTAGTCTTGCGCATATTCACTATTATTCAGTGCATTGGTGCATCCAATTGGATTAGACCATGCTTTGCTTCGCTAAGAGTGGAAAGGTGAGCACTACACTTTGTTGCAGTGCACAAGAAACATCCACTTCATCATTTCGAACATCATTATAGCTCGTGCATCTTTGAGTATTTCTCAGTGCGTTGACGCACCCTAGTGGAATCAGAGCATCGATTCATTCAAGTGCAGTCGAAAGCAAACTTGAGAAACCAGCATTAAGAACCAGTAAAAGGTGGGCACTAAAAACCATCAAATGCATAAGTAATAATAAGTTCTTCAACTTGAACATTATTATAACTTGTGCATTACTGAGTGATTAACTGTACATTGCTGCAGCCAAGTGGGATAAGAGCATCGACTTGCTCGAGTGCAACTACGAGCCCTTGTGAAGCCAGTGCTAAGAATAAGAAGGAAGGTGGGCACTACACACTACCGCAGTGCATGAATAATATCCCATTCTTCTTTCTGAAAATATTATTGCTTTGCTTCTCTGAGAATTGCTTGTGCATAGGTGCATCCAAGTGGGATCACGGCATTGCATTCAAAAGCAACCTTGAGAAGCCAGTGCTAAGAACAAGAAGAAATAGGCACTACAAGCTTTGCAGTGCAAGGAATAGCCACTTCTTATTTGAACATCATTGTAGCTCGTGCAAATCCCCGATTTCGTTGTGCATTGTTGCATTCAAGCAGATAAGAGTACCGATTCGTTCTTTAGTGCTAAGAACAAGCCAAAAGGTGGGCACTACGAACTATAACAGTGCACAAGAAATCTTTTCTGCATTTAACTATCGTTTAGTTCGTGTATTACTCAGTCTTCCTGGTGCATTGTGCATCCGAGTGGATCATAGCATTTCTTCGGTGTTAAGATCAGCAATAGAGTATGCATTACAGAACAATATTCTGTGCATTGCTGCGCCCAAAGCGGATTGAAGCATTGATAGCAATTGCAACGACGAATCCTTGGAGATCCACTGCAGTCAAAAAGGTGAGCACTACGATTCATTTAAGTGCATTCTGAACACCTTTCACAAAATTTCTCTCAATTCAAACATTACTAGAGTCTGCGAATTATTCATTTAAATTTGACATAGATGCATCCAATAAGTTGGATTAGAACATCAATTCATAACACATATCTCATCTTGCGTCTCAATTGAACATTGAAGTTACATTGAAGCTTTCAAACAAAGAAATGGCAACAGCGCTGAAGATTAAAAAGGGGTTTTGCTTGGCCGTAACAACACCCTCTCAGGGTTGCTAGCTAAACATACACCATTGTGTGAGGATATGCAAAACCAAGATCAGGATGACGCATATTTAAGAGATAGGATGGTGCAGATCTGTAATGCAGAGGCAGAGATTAAAACTCGCCAAAATTTATTTGAGAAAGCACTATACAACTTCTCGGAAGCAGTGGATAAGCTCAAAAACCCCCTCACGGAAGAGGAACACATCACCAGAGCACAGGAAATAATCGCTCAAACTGAGGAGTTGCTCATCAAGCTGGGAATCAAGAAGCAGCAGTTATCAAGTACACTGGAACGCACCCATTTCGGTAAACTTGGGTCACCTCCAGGAAATTCAATAAGTCCCGTCATAGGAATAGAGCTCCCACAACTTCCGCTTCCAAAATTCAGCGGCAAAGTCTGGCAGTGGGACAGTTTCTGGGAATTGTTTAATGGAACAGTGCATACACTCCCAATTTCCAATTTACAGAAATTCAACTATCTTCGGGAATCACTCAAGGGAGAAGCACGCGACTCCATATCCCGATTTCAAGTGACATCCGCGAACTATAACCTAGCGGTAGCGCATTTGAAGGAAAAGTATGGGAACGTTCAGAACATTGTAACCAACCTTCATCAACAGCTGGAACAGTGGAGTGCAAGAAGCTCATATCTCAAGGATCAGCGCAAGCTCTTTGATCAACTGTCGGCAATCACAGCGCAGTTGGAGAGCAAGGGCGGAAACTTAGAAAGCCCATGGCTGTTATCAAAACTACTGTGCAAGTTCACAGTGACAATTCAGAGGAGAACTCTTAGAGGAAAGATCTTCTTGCTTCAACAAGAGACATGGACATTGAAGAAACGTGTGACAACCTTGGACAAGGTCATAAAACAGGAAGAAGAAATCGAACAGTCCATGCCGAAAAGAAGGGAGAATCCCCCCGAAACAACAGAAACCTCAAAAGGCACAGCAGGAATGAGAAAAAAGCGCACAACTTTCTGCTTTTATTGCGACAGCCAAGAGCATAGGTCAACTGAATCACAAAAATAGTCAATTCAAAGGCACGTTTGGACTACCTGAAAAAGGCCAACCGGTGCATAGGATGCGGAGGTAAAAATCACGTTTTTGCCGAATGTAAAGGCAAAGGCGCATGAAATGCGGCAAGAAGCATCATACATCAACCTGCTTCCAAACAAAGCAAACTACAGTACACACACCGCCGCCAAAACCACTAAACAAGAACAAGGAGAGTAGCAAGAGAACACCTCAAGCACAGCAAAATTGCGCATTCTACGAGGATAGCACACTCACAGGAGATGAAGCTACAAATCTAACTGTGATGAAAATAGAAAACACCACTAAAGGTGAGCAGGAGAAATATTCCTGCTTACAGGAACATTACACACCGTGCATCCACGCACACGACGTCCACTGAGGTTTCACGTACTCTTGGACACTGGCGCAGATCGTTCTTCCATTGACGCGAATCTCGCCAAAGAGCTAGAACTACCAGAACATAATGTGATCACAATGAAATTGTGCGAGAGAAGCATCCTAAACAAATTCAGTGCATTGACACATATTTGCAAGTGTGGGACTCCACAGGGAAAGAACACATTCTACGCGTTTTCACACATGATGGACTCACGAGTAATTATCATAGAGGTCGCCTCGAAGAAAAGGATCTTCAGTTCATACGTGACAACATCTCATTCTAAGTGCTCCAAAGGAAGGAGGCGCTCATTCCCCAGAAATACTCATTGGCTGTGACCAATTATGGAACTTCATGAACTTTGAAGAGAGAAACTTCGTTCTCCCATCTGGTCTCGTTCTGGTACCGACGCGACTAGGCTACATGGTTACTGGGAAGCGCAACGCCGAATCAGGAGACAACACAAACAATATGAACTCTTCAGTTCATACCGTTGAGTCATCACATCAGTTTCTTGGCCAATTGGAACACCACTGGACGATACAACCTCATAAACTAGAAAAGGAATTCTGCGAGCCTGAAAAAGAAGAAAAGGCTCTCATCAATGCCCAGGTCCTGGCAGATTTCAATAAATCGATCGAAAAGAAGGATGAAGGATATGTTGCTCGTCTCCCGCTCAAAGATGATTACAAGCGACTACCTGACAACAGAACCCTCGCACTTCATCGCCTAAGAAGTACTATACAAAAGTATAAGGACAAACCAGAGCTTTTCCGCCAGTACCATGAAGTTTTCCAAGAGCAGCTCAATAAAAACGTCCTAGAGGTAGTAGATGAAGGTCAAGAGGATCCCTACAAACAACGGCACTACTTCCCACATCAACCTGTCATCACGCCAGATAAGGATAGGGCACTACCAAATTTAGAGTAGCCTTTGACGCATCTGCGCACTACAGAAATTGTCCTTCACTAAATGACGTTGTGCATCAAGAACCTACCATGCTTCCTAAGCTGTTCGGTATACTTCTTCGATTCCGCACAGGAAAGCATGTTCTTCTTTCAGATGTCAAAAAAGCCTTTCTGCAAGTGCATTTACACAAGGACGATAGGGACTTCACCAGATGTCTGTGGCTAAAAGACATAAGCAAACCAGTCACCGAGGACAATCTAAAAGTATACAGATTCACAAGAGTGACATTTGGCATCCACGCTTCGCCATTCTTGTTGAGTGCATCCATCCTATACCACCTCAACAACTACGTGGAAAACAAAAGTTTGGCGAAAGAAATCGCATCAAATCTGTACGTGGATAACCTATTCGTGAAAGCAGAGTCTGTCGCTGAAGGAATCCAGAAGTACAAAGATCTGAAAGCAATTTTCAACGAAAGCAATTTTTTGACTTCAAATGAACCTGAGAGCATTCGTATCCAATTCCTCTGCGATAACGGAAGCAATCGAATCAGAAGATCAGTCGTCAAACTCATCACCCAAAGTACTCGGATTACGATGGGATTCCACAGCAGATGAGTTTTCTATTAACATAAAAGTCCAACCAGAAGAATTCGTCAGTAAACGGACAGTTGTTCAACAAATTGCGTCAGTATATGACCCTTTTGGATGGCTCATACCTCTTCTTGTAAAAGCCAAGCACTTCCAACAACAACTATGGAAGGAGGTACAATTGGGACGAACCACTGAGTAAACATCTGCAAGACGAATGGCGCTCCATTACAAAAAATATGAACGCGTTCCATAAAAATGTGCATCGAAGGATGGCTCATTGCACAACCTTGCATTCACTAATCACGTACTGCGACGCTAGCAGGATCGCCATGACGGCGTGCACATACTTGGCAACCGAGGATGACTCCAACTTCCTGATAGCCAAGTCGAAGGTTGCGAACTACAAAAGGCCAGCCACAGTCCCAAAAATGGAAATGAATGCAATAGCAATAGAAGCACGACTGACTCTGAACACCTATCCGAGTCTGAGAAATGCAGCTCGCATCACCAGAGTCATTCTTCTATCCGACTCGGAAATCGCGTTTTGACAAAAAGTCCAATTCATCATCAAGGTATTGGTCAATATGTAAAAAATCGAGTGAAAGAAGTCTACAACATCGTCAAAGAATTGGAGAAAATGAACGTTCAAGTCCAGTTTGGATATATCGTCACCAAACAGAATCCCGCGGACATAGGAACACGTGGAGCATCAGGAGAAGAATTCTCTTCTCACATTTGGTGGAAGGCCTATTCACTCCGAAGCAGGGTGAAAATCGTGTCGAGGACGTGGTCGCAGAGGTACGACCCCCCCCCTAAAATCGAGGTCTCGGCATGACCCCCCTAAAGTTGATTTAATGTTGATAAAAGTGTTCTTTTTTGAATTCATTGAACAAAACACAAACTTCCTCAGACAAACACAACGACAATCGACAAACAAACGACAACGACAAACAAACATGGACAAGATAACAGATCTTCTTAATTCCACATTTTTTTCTCCCCTTACGAGGAGAAAAAAATCTTACATGACAAAACGAAAAAAGAAACAAATAACAACGGTGCTGACCTGGCTGGGGTAAAGAGACAGTCGCCGCCGCTCCCCATGCTTGACCCCCCCCTTGGAAATGAAATAAATCACCCGACATGTGTTTTCACTCAGGTTGCAAGATTCACCCCACCTCCCCTCCTCCCCATGCACCGCGGCGGCGATTACTCCACCCCTACTAAGTCAGCACCCTACTCCCTCCCCCTCTCGCCGCTCCTAGACGGTTTCTTCCGGGACCATCAGATTCTCCAGCCTTCCTTCCCGCCGCATTATCCGACATTATATTTTTTTTTTGTACCCAGACCATGAAATGCAATGCATGTAATAGAAAGAAAGAAAGAAAGAAAGAAAGAAAGAAAGAAAGAAAGAAAGAAAGAAAGAAGAAAGAAGAGAAAGAAAGAAAGAAAGAAAGAAAGAAAGAAAGAAAGAAAGAAAGAGAAAAAGAAGAAAGAAAGAAAGAAAGAAGAAAAGAAAGACAGAAAGAAAGAAAGAAAGAAAGAAATAAAGAAGAAAGAAAGAAAGAAAGAAGAAGAAAGAAGAAGAAAGAAAGAAAAAAAGAAAGAAAAGAAAGAAAGAAGAAGAAGAAAGAAAGAAAGAAAGAGAAAGACAGAAGAAAGAAAGAGAAAGAAAGAAGAAGAAAGAAGAAAGAAAGAAAGAAAGAAAAGAAAGACCAGAAAGAAGAAGAAAGAAAGAAAGAAAGAAAGAAAGAAAGAAAGAAAAGAAGAAAGACAGAAAGAAAGAAAGAAAGAAAGAAGAAAGAAGAAGAGAAAGAAAGAAAGAAGAAAGAGAGAAAGAAAGAAAGAAAGAAAGAAAGAAAAGAAAGAAAGAAAGAAAGAAAGAAGAAAGAAAGAAAGAAGAAAGAAAGAAGAAAGAAAGAAAGAAAGAGGAAAGAAAGAAAGGAGAAAGGAAAAAAGAAAAAGATAACAAAAAGAAAGAACGAAACGAAAAAGAAGAAGAAAGAAAGAAAGAAAGAAAGAAAGAAGAAAGAAAGAGAAATAAGAAAGAAAAGAAGAAAGAAAAATTGTACGCCATGCCACTCCCAACAATAGAACATGCAAAGGAGGTCTTGCATAGCGCTGATTAAAATTTTTTATAGAAACGTCCGTCGATTGGTTGGTTGAGCGACTTCCGACAGGCCGAGGACACCCGACACGCCTTCCACGTGCCGTAAAATCCATTGGATTCGCTGAAATGAGTGTATCCAAATGAGTGATGAGATGCAATAACCATTTGTTGGTTTTACTTACTTCGTTTGGCAGAGCCCGTGACATCGCCTGATAGTGAGCAGAATTCGAGAACGAGATAACGGCCATTATGACAACTGACATTAAACACACAAGAAAGAGAAAGAAAGAAGACAGAAAGAAAGCACATACAAACTGACCAGTCGAAACGAAATTGCTCCCTTTCGAATGTACGGAACAGCGCAACATTTCGTTGCTTACAACGTTCTCACTGAACGCATGATTTTACAACATCCACTTCATATTACACACTAAAAAGTATTCACAATGAAGCGGATGTGTTGTGGATGCGTTATATCATATTTGTTTGCTAACATGAGTGATGTGAAATTATGTTCTCCAAACGAAAGTAGTGAATGTTAAGGCACGATACTAGGCCAAATCCACAACAACATCTACTTCATTGTGCATCCTATTACTACTAAGTGAAGTGGATGTGTTGTACATGTTGTTTGAACCACATGTAATGAATGTCACCACACCACATCACATTACACTTCTGTGTGTGTTTGTGCATGTTCTTGAAGATTCATTACATGTTGTTCAAGAACAAGCACAACACACACACACTTCAACAACTATGCTAAACACTATGAACAAGGGCCGTGTGCTGAATGATGGGGAGGAGACGGTAAGGAAATGTTTGAGTGGTTCGTCGCAGGACCCAGGGCGGTATTCAATCCCTCCCACAGGGATCGTAGGACGGAAATCCCTTTAAATTTATGTGTTTTCAACGATATACTTTCAGTCAAGGGATGAGTCGGGGTGTGCTTCACTAGGATAAAGAGCAAATTTTTCACCCTTTGCAGCGCGGAACATTTTTCGCTGTGGGAACAGGGTCAACCCTATCGTTGTTACTTTTCGGAAATTTTTTACGACCCCCCCCCTTCCTGAGCGATTTGGTACGACCCCCCCCCTTGTGTGTAACACTTGTGTAAAACAGTGTTCATCATCAATTTTTATTTCATTTTCATTTTATTCATGTTTCATTCCATTTCACTTCAATATTTCAATTAAAAAGTCAGTGGTTTTCAAGGATCATTCATTTAAAAAGAACCAAAGCTTCTTCATATTGGAGGTGTTGTCGTCCACGTGGCGAATCGTTCTTCAGGAGTAAAAACGGGAGCAAATGAGTGCTCATGCAGGAGGGAGTGCGCGATTTCCATTGCCGCTGCCAGGCCTCGTCACAACAGTATACTTTTTCTTGCATTTGAGCTAAAAAAAAATCGGACTTAGCAAACGGTCGAGTTAGAGGAGTGAATGAGGGGTCTACAATAAGACTCACCAGACAGTAAATTTAGGCCGATCAATACGATGAGAGCGATTAAAAAAATTTGACCGATGAATCCAGCAACGACCTGGTTGAGGAAATTCGATGCAAAATCTTGGCCACTGCCAGAGGGCGTCGGTGCCATCGTTGTACTGAAGAAGTCTCTATATAGTTCTGGCACGTCCATTAGGGCGACTGCACTTCATATCTTTCTGCCTGATTGGGCCGGTCTACGGTCTTGAAGTGGGCGGTCAATGCACCTCACAGAACACGAGTGGATAAGCTGTTTCCAGCATGTTTTGCTAAGTCTGTCAGAGGACTCAGCTTACCCACCCGTCTTCTATCAAGTGCGGTGACCGCCATGAAGCCAGTGGACCGGCGTAATCAGGCAGGAAAGTGTGCATGATGGTAAACTTGCAACTTCGACTCGATTGAAACAGAGTATAAACGCATATGACAAGGGAGAAAATGGTCAAATTTATCCAACCTCTTTTTTAATTCCATTGATAGGTATATATGATTTCTACTAGCATCAAAAAAAATATGTGATTTCTTAGCCGACGCACTAAGTGCTAGTAGTATTTTTATATACTAATAACCCTCATTCAATTCCTCGGGTCTGTACTTGATATCATAAGTACTGACCCAAGCAATTGAATGAGGGTTGAAAGGAAGGGCACTAAGTGCGGTTTCTAGTGGATTGAGGGAACGCGAAATCGGCGCGCATCCACAAGGAATTGGATGTGGTTCACTAGGACAGAAAGCGGCTTTTCCGCTTTTCGCGCGCGAAACTCTTAAGCGGTAGCGGAGCTATGGTCCCACAGTAAAAACGTTCCGCGCGCGAAAAGCGGATTGCTCGCTTTCTATGCTAGAGAACCAGGTCCGAAATTGGACGTGGTTCACTGGAACAGAAAGCGACTTTTCTGCTTTTAATGATTCACAATAAAATGCGCATGCAAAAGAAGGCACATCTCTAGACAACATGGAACTAAACCGCTTCCTGCAAAAACAGCTCAGCTAGAGTAGCCCCAAGCAACATTTAGCACATCCTCGTATAAAACGCACAGTCAATGATAGATGAACAGCAGTAAATGAGAAAGTCAAAGCTTAAAACAATGAACATAACAAAAAAAGAGAAGGAATAATGTGTGCAACAAAGAAACAGATTCATGGAATAAAGCGTTTTTTATAGGGCATATTAAGAGACCCTTCTGATGCAAAATCAACTATCAGCCTAATACAACAGCAACAAGGGCCAGCGTTGATTGCAAGATATTTAGAACCGCGGCTATTTCAAAATACATCTTGAAGACATCCAATTCACTTATATTTACGCCTCCTGAAGAGGAAAAGATAGCGTGAAAGTGGTGGCATGCTGTACTAGGTGTGGTTGACTAGGAAAGAATGCGACTTGACCTCTCTTCGCGGGCGGATTTTTTTCGTTGCGGCAACCCGGGGTCCACTCTTGAGCAGTGGTGGACCTAGAATTCCCGCAACGAAAACAGTTTCGAGCGCGAAGAGCGAAAAAGTCGCTTTCTGCCTTAGTGAACCTCCCTTGCGGACAGGAGTGCGCGGTCGAAAGCGCGCTGATGGAAGTGAACAAAGCGGTAATCAAAATTAACTATCAAAAGGATTTCAGGTATTTTTTTCTTTGCACGCACATACCACACAGCTGAGGTGAAATGGATTAAAACGAGTCGTGAATGGAAAATAATTACACACCTATTGCCTCATTTCATTCGTTCTGAACCCTTTTCTTGGCCACAACAAATGGAATATCAAAAACACTGTTCTGTGAAACATATGAGAAAAATACCCAGGTTAGGTATATACACCGAACTAGGGGGAAGTCTGTTCCTTCATGAGACACTGGGCGAACACCTCAATATAAGCCAGTGGGTCTGGGACATAATTGAAACTTAGCTGGAAGCTCCATCAACACGCATCGTGATCGCATGCAGTGGCCGATGTCAGACTTTGCGACGAGCCCCTGACGCATCGCTCTCGAAACTTGTGCAAAACAGGGCCCGTCGCAAAGTCTGACATCGGCCAGTGAGCAGTCACACGGTGCTCTACGCCCTTTTTGGACATGAAGGTCAGCCCACACAACTTCAAGCAGAGAGGCTAGATTGATAGAGGATGGTCGCCTTGTTAATAATAATTAATAGTCAATAGTCATAGTCAGAACCACTGCCAATCGCAAACTACGATGCGGATATTGCAGGGATGAGTAAAGAAAGATTAGAATAGCAGATAAGAAATAGGACTACAGCTGAAGACTACAGTTGAACGCGTTGCGTTCAAATGTGCTGAATGGCGCCCTTTGTGCCCTGACGGTGGAGCGCATTTTTTCACGGTGAAGAAACGTCGCACGGGGAATGTGAAGATTCAAGGAGTTTTTCTTTTTTACATTTCAGGGAGCTCGGGAGATTCAGGTGGCTTTTGGATCGACGTGACTCCTTCTTCCTCACGAGTGCTCACTTGTTCTCAAATATTCCGGAAAGAATAAGTTATTAGCCCAAAAATGAAACTGGACACATTTTTCACTCCTCTTTCTAAGGCTATAACTTCCTTCATTCGAGCTTCTGCGCCGAACTGATTTGATTTGGAAAATTCAAATTATTCTTTCTCTCCAACCATGGGTAAAAATTCTTCAAAACTTAATTTTATAAAAATTTAGTACGTTGTTACTTTTTCTAAGCAAATGCGACCTTTTTAACCTTTAAACTTACGAGCACCGAGACGTTCCTGAAAAGTCAGCAGTTCAAAAATTAGTTCCGTTGTTACTTTTTTTGAGGGGTATTCTTCAAACCATTTTCTCGAAAACGCCGGTCTTCTTAGGTTTCACTGCCCGTAACTTCTTGGAAGACCAATGTGATGTTTAACTTAGGAAGTGCTAAAAAGCTTCGAGCATGCGCTTGCACTATATTCCTTGCCTTGGTGCGCGCCACGCCTCGGGCGCCCTTCTACTTCGCGCATTCATTTGAAAGCTCATTGAGAGGGAAACGTGGTTGATGCTCTATATCAGTCATCTTACAAAAACGTAACGTGCTGGCTATTATCCGATATTGCCAAGAATCTCCCTGCCGGCCACCGTGGGAGTACGACCCCCCTCTAAGCTCAACTGAGTACGACCCCCACGTTGTTCCTCGTAACAACGTAGGGTTGAGTGTTACGAAACCTAGCTGCTCAGTGGAGTACTTCTGACTACAGAATACTCAAAGCCAGCAATATCACAAAGTGGATACTCAGTTCCTGAAAAGCTAATCACACTTTGCCCAGGACAATGTGAGATGCTCGGTTACGATCACTAAGTTTCCGGATTACCGCAGAAATAAGGCATCCCATTGGCAACAGATGAGATACAAGAAACAAGACCATGACAAAGGTGCAGATGTTCCGTCCCATCAAAGGCTTTGAATCACTGGCTTCACCAATTCAGGAATGAAGCGGTTCCGCAAAGAACAGAGAGCATCTTTGATGCCTCATGCTTGAAGCTGTTGCGCTCGGTAAAGCATATCGCGACATCCGTAGCTCTGAGGCAGAAACCAATTGTATTAACAAATTTTACGAAGATGTGCGAAAAGTTTTCAACGCTATATGGCGCCTGAATCTCGACCCACAGAAGCTGTGCTTCCTTCACTATGCTTTGGACAGACACACAATCCTTGACATCATCGAATGCAATGGTGATTATGACACCTTTAAGAACTGCGTTCTGCCCAGCATCTCGGCGGAAGATCGTGGGTATCCTGACTACATTGACGATGAAGGAAATTGTGACAAAATCAAGCGCGATAAAACTTATATGGAATCTATCAATGCAATTGAACGTTCTGTTCCTTACCTGGATTGTACAAGTTTTTCATGGAATTTTATAACTCCATTGCTGGAGCGGTTAGAACACTCAAACGTGGCCACGCAATTTTCGAGAAGATAAAACCAGTGTCAGGTTCTACAAAACGCTGCTTGACAACGGCGAAGATCTGAGGATTCATCCGACGTGAGGGAGGTGAGATAATAATGCATTCCTGTTGACTGCGTTATAATATTTTTCATTTATAGGCCATAAAATGCATACTCGTTATCCGGCCAGCAATGCTGACCCAGAGCGGAGCTTTTCGCAAGCGAATATGCTTACAAGGGCAGAGCGTAATCGCTAGGGAATATAACTTCTGAACGACTCATGACGTCAGTTTCTTGATCTATGCGGTACTAATGAAGTAAAAAAGCTCTTTGAGCATTTCTAAGCTGAGCTATTTCATAATCACAAATGAAAAAGACCATTGCAGAATTCAACGCGATGGGCCAAGTGTGCTTACAGTCAAACCCAAGATATGGCTGAACAGTGGATGAATCCACTTCCTGGCTCGACCTTCCACGCACAGGCCATCTTCGTACCAGAGGTCGGATAGCTTTGTTAACGCGAGTCAGGGACGCCATCGAGAGCAGTATTATACATTGTACTTTTTCTCTTTGAAGTCAACAACTCCACTTGCAGAAGATGGACCAGCACTTGTTTAGGCTGCATGTTGAACATTCTCTCACGCTGCACGGTCTCAGTGATAGGAACGATGGGAAACACCAATCAAAAGAAGATCTCGAAACTTCGAGAGCTACTATTTTCTCGTGGTATTCTCCACCTTTGATACCATCATTCAAGTTTTAATCGTTCAACAAACTGCTTTTCTAGTGAAGAATAATAGGCTGGTTTCTCTTCTTTGTGCTTGTTTCAATGAGCCAACAGACAATAAACAGTTTTCTGCTTTATTTGCAGTGAAGCTGTACATGTTCATCCTCTTTTCACTTCTGTTCACAACTTGTTCTGTCTGCTATATTCTAAAGATGGCGAAAAGAGCGGCAATCGAACCTGAAACATAACGCATTTTGTACTATTTCACATATAATTTTTCTTCGCTGCGTTTGCTCTTCCCTGCGTATCACTATCCATGCTCAGTAGGATATCACCAAAAATCCGAACCCACCCGACCACTTCACCGTGACGACCTTTGCGGACTTCAACAATTGGCGCTGGCCACGACGACGCGGAGGAGGCTTGAAGGACCTATTCGTCGTCGGCAGCTCGAAGGACGAAAGTTTACACTTTGATTTCAATTTCTATGATGGCACCCAAAGAACTGCAAAATGTACGCGTTTTGTGAACTGGCCTAGTTGCAACATTCCAGTGAAATCTCGCGAAAAAAGCATTGCTCGGTTTTTCCAACAGCACGAGGTTCCTTTCCAGACTGTTTTCCTGCTGCTTCACTTCAAGAGTTTACAAGAGTCTAAGGAGTTTTCTGAGAAGTTCAGCTTCGTTCAAACTTCAGAAACTAACAATCCAATTTATACTACTGAGTGGAACAGAGTTTCTAAGGAAGATCAGCAATGGCTCTCAAGCAGAGTGAAAGATTTCGTTGTTTTCGGTCACAGTGAGGATCCAAGCAAGATGCTGCCCGTGGAGAGACTTTCGGCTTTGCTTCCCAATTCTCGCGCACTCCACGTGCTTCCCGTCAACGCGCTCGATCAGCGGACTTCTGTCTCTTACTGCAACCCCACTTGGGCCCTTACAGCCCCTTCCCCTGCGCTACCGAACTACTGTGACGGCGAGAATTTTCGAAGTAGATTACCGCATATTGGGTCTCCTTCCACGACACCTCTGCCGAACGCGGTGGATGATGACACTGGGAGTGTGACTTTGTGTGAAGAGCCACCCGATGACTGGTATTTTGAACAACCGATGGAGTCCGTCCGCCGGAGCGACACAGAAGGGACGGAAAGTGCTCGCTGCTGTCCCCACGTTCTTGAACTGAAAAATACAATAACTGCTTTAACTGATAGACTACTTGTTGTGGAAAGTGAGCTACGCTTAGCAAGAGAAGCGCTGAGGAGAGAGAGCATGTCCGTTCAGGAAGCACGCCAACTGGCCACTGAAGAAACTCAAAGAATGTACGGCATGTACAGATCTGAAAGAGACAAGAAAAGCATGATGGGGCGCCTCGATCACCTTTCCTTGGACGGCAGTAAGCTGACAGCAAAGCAAATAATGGAACTGACAAGCATCCCATGGCTTTCATATTACAGAGATTCCAGCAAACCTAGTGGCGACTTCATGCGTTGCTCGCTATGCAACAGTGACACCGATGTTGACGAATACAAGCCTGAGCGTGATCACGAGAGGTGTGCTGAGTCCAGCGAGCATGACAACTTCTGGAAGAATATGCTAGGCAAAAATGAGGTGATGTGCATGAACAGGTTCTCCGGACGTTTACCGCAAAGGAGAGCTACTACTAATGTGGTAATCGCCATAAGAAGACACGAGTTATCGAAATTCCATCAAGACCGGCACCGCGAATTTACGAATGCTTTGCATCAAGAGAGGTCCTCCGCCGCTGCAGACTTGGAATCGACGGCATCTGCGACGCTAGCTGCATATACCATAGCGAAGGAAGGATTGGCACTCCAAAAGCAGCTGCCCTTGCTGCTCATGCAATTGCGAGCTGGAGCAGTGCCGACTTCTGCCCACTACAGTTCCAGATCAGCACGAGATATGGTGGCAACATTTGCACGTCACATGAAATACGACATGCTCAAGTATGTGATAGAGTCAAAGCTGCCATTCTCACTACTTGTGGATGGGACATCGCATGATGGAGAAAAATGGGTTGTGTACCTTGTTCGAACGGTTTCCCCTCAAAACCGCCCCATAACATTCCATCTCGCCTTGGTTACGTTAGATAGTGAGAAAGCGGACGACATCATTACCGCATTTACTACCCAATTACAGAATATCTCCTCCTGGGCACAGGCTCCAGGTTTGAGCGACGAACCCTATGCTTACGCAATGAAACGAATGATAGCGTTATCATCTGATGGAGCCTCGGTAATGGAGGGCAAGCACGCTGGTGTTCATAAAAAATTAAGAGACCTAATAAGACACGAAACAAGGAACACACTGAAGAGAAATGATTTCCTGCTTTCTGTTTGTGCTGCCCACAAGCTGAACCTTGTAGTAATGGACCAGAACGGTCTGGCATTAAACCTTACGAATGCACTTGTGAAGGAAATGCATCAATTATTAGGCTCTGGTGTTGCAACACGAGCTCGTACCGTTTACTCCCAAACAGCTGCGGCTATGAAATTCCCTGTACTACGGATGGATCAATTACATACCGTGCGATGGTCGGCAAGCCTGCAAAACTCGCTCTCGAAGATACTCCGCATGTATCCCGTTCTCATAGCAACTTGCAAAATTAACGAGAGACAGCGCCGTTTCCCCGAAAATGAAAATGCGAGCTGAAGCAGCCGCTTTTGTTCTAAATGATGGACACACTTTTATCATACTTCACCACGTGAATGCGACTTTATCGCACTTAGCCAGACTTTCGGAGTCATTACAAAACGAAGAAGCCCTGTTGGTGGATTATGTTTCGCGCTGGCGGCATTTCGATTCCCTAATCAATCGCGAAATCATAAAAAACCAGGTGTACGAAAACCTAGCTCTCAGTGGAGTACTTCTGCTACAGAATACTCAAAGCCAGCAATATCACAAAGTGGATACTCAGTTCCTGAAAAGCTATCACACTTTGCCCCAGGACAATGTGGAGATGCTCGGTTACGATCCTACTAAGTTTCCTGATTACCGCAGAAATAGAGCATCCCATTCGGCAACAGATGAGATACAAGAAACAAGACCACTGACAAAGGTGCAGATGTTCCGTCCCATCAAAAGCTTTGAATCACTGGCTTCACAAATTCAGGATGAAAGCGGTTCCGCAAAACGAACAGAGAGCATCTTTGATGCCTCCATGCTTGAAGCTGTTGCGCTCGGTAAAGCATATCGCGACATCGTAGCTCTGAGGCAGAAAACCAATTGTATTAACAAATTTTACGAAGATGTGCGAACAAGTTTTCAACGCTATATGGCGCCTGAATCTCGACCCACAGAAGTTAGTACTTCCTTCCACTATGCTTTGGACAGACACACAACTCCTTGACATCATCGAATGCAATGGTGATTATGACACCTTTAAGAACTGCGTTCTGCCCAGCATCTCGGCGGAAGATCGTGGGTATCCTGACTACATTGACGATGAAGGAAATGTGGACAAAATCAAGCGCGATAAACTTATATTGGAATCTATCAATGCCATTGAACGGTTCTGTTCCTTACCTGGATTGTACAAGTTTTTCATGGAATTTTATAACTCCATTGCTGGAGCGGTTAGAACACTCAAAACGTGGCCACGCAATTTTCGAGAAGATAAAACCAGTGTCAGGTTCTACAAAACGCTGCTTGACTACGGCGAAGATCTGAGGATTCCATCCGACGTGAGGGAGGTGAGATAATAATCACTTCCTGTTGACTGCGTTATAATATTTTCATTTATAGGCCATAAAATGCATACTCGTTATCCCGGCCAGCAATGCTGACCCAGAGCGGAGCTTTTCGCAAGCGAATATGCTTACAAGGGCAGAGCGTAATCGGCTAGGGAATATAACTCTGAACGACCTCATGACGTCAGTTTCTTGACCTATGCGGTACTATGAAGTAAAAAACTCTTTGAGCATTTCTAAGCCGAGCTATTTCATAATCACAAATGAAAAAGACCATTGCAGAATTCAACGCGATGGGCCAAGTGTGCTTACAGTCAGACCCAAGATATTGGCTGAACAGTGGATGAATCCACTTCCTGGCCTCGACCTTCCACGGCACAGGCCATCTTCGTACCAGAGGTCGGATAGCTTTGTTAAGCGAGTCAGGGACGCCATCAGAGGCAGGTATTTATACATTGTACCTTTTTCTTTTGGATCAAAATCACTTGCAGAGATGGACCAGCACTTGTTTAGGCTGCATGTTTAAATTTCCACGCTGCACGGTTCAGTTGATAGAGAACGATGGGAAACACCATCAAAAGAAATTCGACTTTCGAAATCGGACTACCATTTTCTCATTGGTATCTCTCACTGTTGATAACCATATTAAGTTAATCGATTCCAAATGCTTACTAGTGAAAATAATAGGCGGTTTCTCTTCTTTGTGCTGTTTTCAATGAGACACAGACTAATAAACCAGTTTCTGCTTTATTTTGCAGTGAATCTGACATGTTTATTCCTTTTTCATCTGTTTCCACTTGTTCTTTGTCTATATTCACTAAAAGATCGGCGGAAAAAGAGCGGCAATCGAACCTGAAAATAACGTATTTATGTAACTATTCACATATAATTTTTCTTCGCTGCGTATTCCTTCTTCCCTGCGATATCCACTATCCATGCTAGATAGGATTCACTCAAAAATCCCCTGCCGGCTCCCATAGTTCGAACCCCCCCCAACCTCATGAATGGAGTACGACCCCCCGTTGTTACTGTAATACTAGGTTGCCCTGTTCCAATAGTCCAAATTGCCACGAATTTTTTTGCAAACGTTTTAAAAAGCGTTTTTAAAATTATAATGCCAAAAACTAGCACATGCACAAAGGAATCGAACACCAGCTTTAAGAAGGGCCTCAGCGGTTAAACATTCCCTACTTCTCTCCGGAATCGTTATCAGATCTTGGAAGACAGATTCTAAAAATCAGCGTTCTAAAACGTCATTAACGTGGTATAATCTTTCATCTTCGAATGGCATGTGCGACTCGAGACTTTTGTTTAGTGAGTTAAGCATTTGTTCGTGATTACACCACGGGGAATAATACTAAAGTAAAACCTAACGAATTATATGAACCATCGTCAGTGAAACTGTTGCTGTATTCCTTTCTATTTAGCCAACCTAACTGCTTATGTTACGTGAAAATAAATAATGTTACATGCGTCCATACGAGCAAACATAGATTTTATTACGCCCTTAATAAACATAACGGTCCCTTAGATTTGAGTGATTGAATAAAGATTAAACTCTTTGTCTCTGCTTAAATGCCAAGTTTTCTCAGGTGCTCCTCGGAACTAATGTTTGGATCAAGACGAATGCCCAATTTTTGACGGAGTCAGACTGATTCAAGCACTGAAGCGCACTATGCGGTACTGGCATTTGTGGTTCCTACCTAGATGAAGTACTCTAGTCTGTTAACAGATATAGTCAGCTTATTTTCCAATTGGCCAAAGATTGATAAGCATCGATTGTCTTTTATGACGCGAAAAGAGAGAACTCTCTACAAGTTCATAATTTTCAAATCGTCGCAAATACTTTGACACTAACTCCAGTTTTTGGTATGGCAGAATTAAAATCAATTAAACAATATTGAAAGAAAGGCGAACAAGACGTTCTGTGAGGACCCCGCTAAAAGCGGAGTTCTTATTGAGTGAAAAATAAGCCTTTGATCACGACTTGAAATCCAGATGCGTAAAACATCTATCAACCCATCTAACTCCTACTATGCAATTCCAACTTGAATTAGTTTGTTCTAAAAATAATAGAGTTATGATTGACCTTATCAATAGCTTTTCTCAAAGTCAAAATAAGGGTGACGTCTAGACTGTTTTTTGGCACCAAGTTCTGTAGTCTAATGTGAGAGCCTCCAATCGATAAACAGTAGATTTTCTCCCTAAATTCGTGTTGGTTATCGGATTGTGAATAGGTCTTTCGATTCTAGGGTGACAAACATTGACTTTTTACAATTTTTTCAAAACAATTTACAACAGAAGAATGTTAATGCTCATAGACCTATAATTGCCAGATCCCAGAGTATAGTTCTTCTCGACAGAACACAAAGGCGATTCCAATCACTAACTTAACTTAAGGATCAAAGCTCGAAAAAAATAGACAAAATTAAAAAAAAATTCCGTTGGAATGAATAATACCAGCAAACTTTTTTATGAAATAGAAGGGAATCCCATCCGGTGTCACCGAAGAACAGCTAGGCCATGTGGATATGAGCTCAAAAATTTCATTACGACTGAACCAAACAGAACCCTCCATTGGAGGAAATTTGGAAGTGCCTGATATAGGATGGCGAGCGGTAACGTCCTTTACATAAACTTTCTCGAAAGCATCAGCTAAAACATTAGCCTTATCCAAGTCAGACACGACCACAGAAGCATCATGGTTTTTAAGCGTGGCGACCCCATCATTTCGATTGATACGGAAGTTAAGAAATTTATAAAAAGTTTTTGCATTCCTAGATTCCATAACTTTTTTTTCGACCGAGACATAATACTTATGGAGTTTCTTTTCGACTTTGCCCGAAATAGCCTTATAGCATAGCCAGTCCGCTTCCTTGTTGGTACATACAGCCCTTTTGTATGCCTCAACTTTTACATTGTAAGCGGTAACCAAATACGTGGGCAGATGAGGCTTATTCAAGGAAACTTTTCGAGTAGGGACATAGGACGAAATGCAATGCCTCAATATGAAAAGAAACATCTCATACATCTGCTCAATTGTACTGCAGCTATTGAAAGACCCAATCCAATCTATATCGTTGAGATAATCGTTAATCCGAACATAATCAGCCTTCTTGAAGTCGAAGTTCACTTTAAACTCATTATGTTCGAAAGAGCTGAGAAGTCTGAAAATAACCGAAGCGTGATCGCTATTGCCCACCGGCGAAGAGATATTTATGTTTGCGATTATCTCAGGAGTGTTAGAAAATAATAGATCGAGAATATGCCCACCACGAGTATTTGACGTGACAAGTTGGGTATACTTATGACAGCTAATCATGTCAGCAAATGCTCTAGCCGGAGCGGGAGCATCAGCGATGTTTCCACTCCAATCGAGACTGGGGAAATTGAAATCACCCATTAATAGACAAACATTATCACAAGAAGAGAGATCCCCAACACACCTAGTCAACTGCTCGTTATATTCTGAGCTACATTTGGGTGCCCGATACACAACTATGAGCCGATGCACTCCCTCAATTAGATGCAAATCACATGATAGGATTTCATAAGCTTTTGGCACACTTTCTTGGAAAACAAGTGTAGGGAAAAGGTTACGTTTGACCAAAAGCGCTACTCCCCCTCCCTTTATCTTAGGCCTATCACACCGAAATGCCTCATAATACGTACAAAGATCACCCAATAATGGTTCAAGCTTACTTCTCGGCTTTAACCAGGTTTCGGTTAAGGCAATAACATCACTATCGAGCGTGGCAATAAGGTACGTAAGGTCATGAGCATTCCTTGTCAAGGAGCGAATGTTTGCCAAAAAACAATGTATTTCATTAATAACACTACCTGCATTCCGAGGAAGAATCAAGGGTTTCCCGAAGGAGGTGGAACGTTGGATGAGACACCATTGACAACAGAATGGATAACAATATCAGATGCAGTTCTCAGTGAAGGATCTGGTGCGATATCATTAACAGCAATCGAGGAAGAATCCATATTTTCGGCTACAACAACGTTTGAGGAGGGTGAATTGTTTGAGACAACATGAGAGGAATTATGGTTGCCTACAGCAGTACTAATTTTCTTACGCATTCTTAGTTCCCTTAAACGGATTCTTTCTGAGAGAGGTAGAGATGGGCGAATATATATTCCACGTACAGGAAAATTTCTCAACAGAGATGCACGAGAGAGGACTTGCCTTTGGAAAAATGTGTTCGGAAGAACTACTTTCACTAAGCGAGGAAAATGGGGATTAGGTTTGCCCATACGATAACATGTTACTGGAATACACTCAATATCAAGAAAATGGAAGATCTTCTTGATACAATCGAAAAGATGAGACATTTTTTGTGTGCAGTCAGGATCACCTATCTCAGCGATACCACTAATCACAACTGAACGAGACATTTCCAAATTCTCACAACATTCATGATTGGATTTCAGCGTGGGAGGACTGGGCGTACTGGTAGAATGAATACTAGAATTATTAACGGAAATAGCTTGCTTAAGTAAATCGATCTCGTGCCTAAGTCTGGAATTTTCGGCTATCTCGGCTTCGAGACGGCCTTCCAGAATACGATTACGGTGCTTCAGATCATCAGTTTCCGAAGCTTTTTCCAACAAATGCCCAATTACTGTTTTTAGGTGGGCTGGCAGATCACCGTCCGAGTTCAGTAGACCAACAGCCTGGATCAATGCGGCAGCGTCCCCGTCCTCCGTAGGAGAAGTCAACGGGGGTCTCCTTTTGGCCCTTCGATCCTTAACAGAAAAGGAAGCGCGGGGGGTATCCATTAACTCAATATAAAAACAGAACCGTTAGAAGTGGCAAACGAACTGATAGAAAAACCAGTGATTTCCTGCCACTAGAAATCAAAGCGACCAATCGATAAAGAAGAAATGCAGGAAAGTCCACAAAACACAATGAATGACTGACCGAACTGGGTGGCTATCTGTCCTATAAATGGTTGACCCTCGCCACAAGGGTGCTCGCTTCCACATATAAACAATAGGCGAATGCTAGTATACAGCACACTAATCGCAAATAGTCAATCAGTGTCTGCTTGGAGAAATAGCCTCGAAAAACGGCAGGAATACAGTTCCACTAGCACTGCGGACGAACAGCACAAACGTTGTAATCGCTACAGCAGTAAAAAGTAGCAGTAGACAGAATACCACTCAGAAAAACTTAGCTCAAAAGGCTAG